AAATAAGGTTTTCCTCCCCCTATTTATCATGGGTTAAACACCCCCCCCCCCACCTCTAATCCAAAATGAGGAGCAAGGTGTGGTGGTGGGAGGCAGGAGTGGCTGCTGTAGCTCTGACTCTGGCCCAGGGTTGGGGTTACAGCTACAACTGCTGCCCACCCCACTGCAGCCTCTGCCCTCCTCTCCTCACTCCCACCTACCTTCTGTCCCTTGGCTTATCCTCCAGGCAAGGTTCTGATCCTGCTCCAACCTGGGGCTGGAAGCAGGTAGCTACTCTGGCCTCAGCTCAGTCTAGTAGCAGAACTGGCCTGGGCTCCAGTTCCAGACCAGAGCTGCTGCCACCACTGCTACTGGGACAGGCTGAGCCTAGAGCAACTATACTCCCCCTGCCCAGGTTTGGAGTGCTGAGAGAGCCCTGCTTGGAGGCACAGGCAGCAGATGGGTGTGAGGAAGTGGTTGCAGGGGGCCTCCAGGCAGGGCAAGTGCTGCGGGGAAGGGGACAGATGGGAGGGGTCAGACTGTTTAAATGCCCACTTACTGCCAATCCCCCAGCATTTGCCACCACACTGCATCCCCGATTGTCTGTCTCCCCTTTTGCCTCCCTGCTGTCCCCCCTGCTTTTCTGCCAGTGCTTACCCTGCTGGAGTGGTGGAGGGGGGATGAACTTACGATGATTTGGATAAAAATTACATTCAGTACATGAAAAAATGTAATAAATGTATACATTTTCCATGTGTGGAATCTAATGGGGGGGGTGTTGTCTTAAATTCACAGTCCTCTTGGATTCAGATAGATGCTGTAAGTACTTACGTGCTAAAAATGGGACTGAGACTAACTTATTTTACAAAGTTCATGTTCTAGCCAGAAGATGACTATGGACATTGAGCTATAAATCAACATTTCCACTGTTACATTCTCATAACAGTGCCAGACCTCACAGTGAATTTTCCTTATTCTGCTGCTTAAGTTAATTGTATCATGCTTGCACAGAGATCTGGAATCTGGATCCCATCCTTTAGAATTCATTTTAACAGTCTGCTGCAAAAAGCAGTAAACAGCAGGCTTCTGACCTCTGTCCTACCATACCAATTAGGAAAGAATTCTATTTCCTCTTCTTTCACTCCAGCATCGAGTAATCATTCCCTTAATGTTCCAGTCAGCCAATATATCCACACCCTATTACAAGGAGTGGAAATGCTTGTAATTAAGTGGACACTGCACTGATGTCCTCTTAATTATACTAAATAAGGGATTTAGAAACAGTTGCATGTGACCTAATAATTTCTTAAATGTGAAATATTTTTGATGGTTTAAACGGCAATATAAAATAGTAAATAGGGGCTCTATAAAATTTGAATTATTTTAATTGCTGTGCAAATATTCAGGCCGTTTTCCCTAATCAGGAACAAACTGCCTACTGTGTTGTACCATACAAATGCCATCCAATGCCAAAAATCAATGCAAAAATATTATTTTATTGATTAAATTTTACAAAGAAATTACTGGTGCTTAAAAAGAAATCCATTATATACATAGAGAGTACAGAACAATGTGTGCGGTGGTGAGGAGGAAGGGCAGAAAGAACAAGAGAGAGGAACTAAATGTTTCACTGAGGGACTGAACTATGAGCATCTGCCAAGAAACATGTTTTGCTATGACTAGGCAGCAATTCTGAAGATTACATTATTTTACACATCATAAGGATTCAATATTAAAAACAAGAGGCTGAACGAAGAAATGTTAAAGAACTATTTCACCTGCAGCTTCAGTGGTGGCTAAAAGTTGCTGTAATATTTTCATTTTCACATTATGACAACACATTTTCTTTCCAAGCCACAGATAACTATTTAAAATGAGATTATATTTTATGCTTGCAGAAGCAGTGTTTTCACCACAGAAATATTGTAACTGCAAAATGTACCAACCTTCTGTTTGTCCAGTATCTTCATAGCATAATACTGTTCTGTGGATTTGTGTTTTACCAACATAACTCTCCCAAATGACCCCGTTCCAAGGGTTTTTTGTCTCTCAAAATCATCTAGGCCAGCAGTATTCTATGTGGACAAATAAATAACACACTCATAAATATTATTTGCAATTGACCTAAAGTTATAGGAAATAGAATAGTTTATCGAAGAAGCTCGATAAAATTAATTCTATGAAAGACAAGTGAAAAAGAGTGTTAACTAATGTAATATTATTTACACATAAGAGCTTTTACTAAGAGGTTTCTCACAGTACTCATTCAAACAAAATTTGGACTTCTTTATATGTATTATATTTAATTAATAGAAATAGCTATGAGGGTGGCATCTGCCTATCAGGGAACAGAAATTAGCTGCAACTAAACCACATTAGCATAAAAGCAGCTAAACAAAATCCCAAAATAGACTATACCTAAAAGCACCACTATGGCTCTAGAATAAATGCTAATGGTAACTATACATGGACATGTGTTATGGAATTATTTATTAATCATCTAGAATACACAGTACAGAGACATTTATAAAAGTGAGCATCACCGCATTATTTGAATACTATTTTCAAAGTTAATATTTAAACCATTTCTACCAAATATACTTTTCATCTTTCCTTATCACAAGGGAGTCTTTTTCTTTACAAAATGGGGTTGCTAAATCAGGAGAGAGATTTCTAAGACGACTATTCAAGATATGCCAAAGTTTCCTCATCATGAACAGTTAGTTGTAACATGTCATAAACACGAGAAAGTTTAACAGAGCTTGAAACTTCCAAGGATTAAATAAATCCACAGCCAAGAATCTATCACTCCAAACGCCCTTTCCTACAGCTACTGAGACCTCTACCTTGAGGAGAAACGAACATATCATCCCTGTTGATCCTAGCTGCGATGACAAAAATGGATTGCTATTCTCAGTTTGGACACTGAACAGCATGTGTATTGATGCCCAACTCATTATCACATAAAAATGTAATATTAAAAAAAAAAAAAAAGATTGAAAGCTTAAGCAGTTCCTTACCTGAGGAGGGCTTTCCCATTTTCTTAAAAAATCTTCTTTGGCTTTGGCTAGGAACTCTTTCACTGAAAACCAAAAGATATTCCTTTTAGTACAATTTACCAAACATGTAAGGTAGAAATTTAAAATAACTATGCTTAGACGGTAGATATAGTTATTTTTTTCAAGTACCTGATAATATACTAGTATATAAGAACTGAAGAATGACGTTTAATTGCCTTCACTCTACATGAAGCAAGCATCAGTGCCTCTAATATTTCTACAATATCTCCAGTGGACCTCTAACCCTCCTGGAGTACTACATCTTTCTATACATGTTGCTTAAACTACTTCAGATCTAATTAGTCACAATACTGTACACGCAAGCAGGCTTTAAGGTGATGTTAAGCATTTTCAAACTGTTTGGAAAAAAACTTGCCCTTATAAATCTACATCCAAATAGGGCAGACTATTTTAAATTGTATTTTCTTTCCATAACTAGAAAACAAAATTATTTTTGTTGCTTCTGTCCCCATGCCCCCCATCACCTTTACTTAAAGGCTGTTTGCAACTCAAGGACTAAGTGCATAGCGTTACTGCAAGCAAAAACAAAAACACAGGGCTACACCACCACTGCACATTAGAGATGCCCACAGTCAGAGAATATACTTTTAAAATATCCATTCTGCATTGAAACTATAGCAATGTAGTAAGAGTACAATTCTGAGTGACTGTTTAAAATGTGCACTAGTATATATGATAATCTAAGATCATTTTTCATCTGTTTTAATCCTCAAAGATCATTATCAGCCAGGGCAGTATAAATTATTTTACTGACGTAATGATAAAACAGAAGCTGTTTCTATTTTTATTGCCATTGCAAAATATTCAAAAAACTAAAATGAAAAATCCATGGTAGTTTTTCTTGGCATCAATCCACATAATCCAACATTAACAATGACAGGCATTCAATACTGTTGTTTTCCTATAGGCAATTTCTAAAAACATCCAAGAATGTTGTAAGTCTTTTTTGAGCAGGATGCAGAAACACATTTTAATAAGGGCATTTAGTTTCCACTACTCATAAAAAGACAACCTTGGTTTAGAATTAGCTAGAAAAAATCATGTGATAAGGCAAGAACTTCCTGCTCTTTGCCGCTAAAGAATACTGTTTTATCTACACAGCAGATTTTTATACATCTAACCTTTGACTGCTGCTTTAACACTGACACAGCTTCTGCAGTGCTATCAAATGGCAGAAACCATACAGTTGACTATTCAGTGTTTGACTACTATGATATTTTCTTGATCATTTTTGTACAAATACCAATGGATAGTCTATGTTGGGCTCCCACCATTACTGGCACTGGCAAGATGCATCAATCTAGATGGAATTTAAAAAAATCCTCAGAGCAGATGCAGCCTAGATGAAGGCTAGGGCACTGTTTAAATAGAAGCATTGTATCTATTGCATGGTTATTAACTTCTAATTAGCTTTGATCTCTTTTTTTCTCTTCCAGAACATTAGTTTAAAAAGGAACATGAGGAATATACTCATTATTTCTGGCAGTAGGAACCGTGTAAATAGAAATACAGTATTCAGTAACCAGAAAAAAGAGTTTTGTAATGAAGACATTGTTCTAATCAGTGTTCAATTACCTACAATTAAAAATTTTAGTCACTGAAGAAATTGGCACATACACTCTGAAGGAGAAAAACATTTCCTTTGCCTTTGAAACTATTTTTTTTTTTTTTTTTTTTTTTTTAGGTTTTTTAAAAAAAAATTTTA